TTGTGGGAGGATAAAGTGAGCTTCTGTTCCCCCTCACCCCCGAACAGGCACTTGCCCACCATAATCTAGAGCGGGTTCTACTGCCCTCCCAGAGAACGCCTGGGTCTGCGCTGGGCTCTGGGGAAATGTGCACGTCGAGTCCTCTCTCCTCCATGGCCGTGGCTCCTGACTCACAGGGGCAGGCCTCAGTGAGGGCTCAGCCCTCCACTCCAGCCCACCCAGGGAACTGTCCCACACTTCCATCCCAGGGCTGGGGGAGGGGTTCGGTGGGGCAGGGTGTCTTCCTGAAGGCCTGCTCTGCCCACCTGCACGGCCAGGACAAGCCCGCAGGGAGATGGGGGGACTTCTGCTCCAGGCTCCTGCAAGGAGTGCTGGGCCTGACATGCTCTGTAAGGACTCCCCGCACGGTGGTTTTTAAGTCTCGCTTCTTAGCACTTTTTGATAGATTCTCCAGGGATGTCTCTAAAAGAGAGTTATACCTTAATTTAGAAGCAAATAACTCAAAACTCTGTGCTGTAGCTGGTTCCTTTGAAAAGAGACAAACTCAAGGAAGCCACTGTTGTGTGATGCTGCCCACTGCACTTGCCCAGGTCCTGACAACAGGACTCGATGGCCCTCAACTCTTGAGCTGTGTCTCCTGCCAGAGGCCGCTGGGGGGTCAAGGGACAGAGTGGGAAGAAGCCACACTACAGGAGGCCAGGGTGAGGCTCGAAGGGTGGCTCTGACTAACCCCAGTGGCCCCGAGTGCCTAACACAGCCTACATGCCCAAGGGAGGCAAATGAAGGGGAAAGAGGGTGATGGGCCAGTGGCACTGTCTTCGCAGCCACCACCAACCAGGCTTCATGGGCATGCGCAGCAGTTGCCTAGGGCCCCATGCCTGGGGCAATGCTCTGCTGTCACTGTCTTGAAATGCTTAATCATTTTAAACAAGGACCCTACAAGTTATGTAGCCTGTCCCCACATGCCCCACGTCACCACAGTGTCTGCTGCAGGGGACCCGCCCTCCTGGGAATTCGTACACCCTGAGTGGCCATCATGGCTGTGCTCCTGCCTCACTTGCTCGTCAGTCCTCAGTCTCTTTTCTGGATAATCTTCTCAGCTCACACTTGAGCAGTGGAAGACCCGAGGCCTGGCCTAGCTCTCCTGGTCCCACCTACCCTTGATCCCCTGGCTTCCCACACACTTGGTGCTTAAGACTCCAGGTTTCTGTCCCAGACTCACTCTCCCCTCTGACTGCCACATGCACCCATGACCTGCCAGGGGTCCAAACCAACTCCCAATGTTCTGCCTCTCACGAATGAGTCTGCATCTTCCTTAGCCAACGCCAACTCCAAGCTTCCACAGCTGTTCTCACCTCTTCTCCAGCAGCAGGTCCTCTTTAATAACCCCCATCTGACTGCTTCTCACCACCTCTGCTGCTCCCACCCCATGGGTCGGTCAGCAGCCTCCTCATCTCAAATGCCGCAGCAGCCCCTAACAGCCTTCTGGTCTGGCCCCTGTGCCCATCAGCCAGACAAGTCTTTTAAAAGTGTAATGAGCTCAAGTGTCTCCTCTGTTCCAAACCTGCCCAGGGTTTCCAGCTTCACTGGGGCCTGCAGATCCAACCTGACCTGCTCCACAGCTCCCACCCCCACCACAACCTTCTACTGGGCGCTAGCCACTTGGACTTCTGTTGGGGCCTCCAGCAGCTGCACTGTTCGGCCTCAGTGCATTTACACCTGCCATCCCCCCTCCCGGTGCTCTTCTCTGTGTCACTTGATTTGCCCTTTGCCTTACCATGGCACTGCACCAACATGGTCCCTCCACCAGAGATTCTTCCCACCCTCTCATGGCACCTGTCCTTCCTGGCATTCAGTTACACAGGTGTCATGTCAGCCCCCCCACCATCGGATGTGAGTGCCACAAAAGTGGACGCTGTGTCTGTTCTGCTCCCTGCTGTATCCCTGTGCCTGGCATAGTGCCTAGCACTCGGCAGGTGCTAGTAAATATTAGCCAAAGAAACAACTGAATGAATAGTGTGTGAGGTTCTGTTTTTCTTGGGCTCCATCCGGAGGACTGATGTCTCCTCCCATGTGCTCCAGGACCCGTCAGACAGTCTCTGTAAGTTAGTCCCTATGAGTTCACAGGGGCCAAATGTGAGGCGGGGACCTGTGCAGGAACTTTTGGCTCTATTTGTGGATGAGGACAAGGTGGCTCAGAGACAACAGGGGTGGGCCAGGTCCTAAACCAGGTCTTCTGATGCCTCACCTGAAGCTCTGTCCTCTCCCCTCCCCACCCTGTGGGGAGTCTGGGCCCTCCCACGTCCTCCCAGTCTGCACAAGCTGTGTCAGGCTACCACTTCAGGCTCCTGCCTGGGGCTGATACAGCGTCTGCCCCAATGCCTGTCCGTTTCCCTTCACCCTCCTTCCTGCCAACCATTGCGCTCAGAGGCCTGCCTCGGGGGACTCAGTTACCCCAGGTTTCCTTCCTGGGGGCTGCGGGAGAGCAGTGTGCTTAATCTGCCTCTTTCAGAGTTCCTGTGGGCCCCACCATGGTCAGCTGCAGTGAGAATGCCCTACAGCCACACAGTGGTTTAGATCTGAGGGCTAGCATGGGGCAGTACAGGGCTGCCTTGTCTTCATGTCCAGGGAAGAAGGCCTGGCACACTGTCATTGCACGTACACATAGGACAATCATGATGAGGCCACACCCTTAGTCTGAGGCCAGCCTTCCCTGCTATTCAGCATCCATCCACCAGCCTCTCTTTCCAGGGCCCTGGGCTGCCTTACCAAGTCTACCTGGTTACCCAGAGTTCCTGAAATTGCCCTAGAAACTCCTGAGCTCCAGACCAAGGCACTTTTCCTCTTGGGACTCCAGGAAACAGAAGAGCTGAGCAGCTGGATAGAGGGAGGACTTTATCCCTGTGCCCCAAATTTAGAGCCCATGGCAGGCCCCCGGAACAGGGCGGGCAACAGGCAGAGTGAAGCATTCCCGTGAGGGCAGGTAGGCTGCCTGCTCTTGCTGCAGTACCCTGGGCCTCACCCAAAGCCAAAAGTAGGTGTGTGTTTGTGGGTGGGGCTGGGAGGGCAAGAAACAGATGAGTAACAAACAGCCCCTTCGGAGGGAGAGCAAAACATCCCTGGGAGCAAGCAAGAAAGCAGATCTATGGCAGAAGGTGACACGGCCTTCCGAGGGGAAGTGACTATGTCTTATTCACCTCATATCTCAGAAAACCAAGGTCTGTTAGAGAGACACATGAGAAGAGTTTTAAACCAAATGCCAGTATCTCATTGCTGAAGGCACACCACTTCAGCTGAGCACCAGTGTGGCCAGGCCCTCCCATGCCATTAGCCCTTCCATGGAGACTCCCAGGCCTCCACATGATTACTGTACTCCAAAGGGACAACAGCTAAACATCATCCTTCATCCTAGCTAGGAAGGGGGCAAGGTGGTTGGGTTACCCAATTCCCTGGCCTTGCCCAAGGGATAAGGTGCCTGGAAAGGTAGTCCTAGGCTGTAAGGAGCCCTCTGAGGCCTTTTAAGATCCCCAGGCCCACCCCAGCTCCTGGGCTACACAGCTGCTTCCCTTTACAGATGAGGGAACCTCAGCTTCCACGGAAGGAGCCACAGCTAACAAGCAATGGGGTCATTCTTCCCCCAGCTCCAGTTAGCCCTTTCCTGCCATACCTCCTATGGTTTCCCAAGCTCTCCCTTTGCTCCTGCCAGACCCAACTGCTTGAGCCTTGGTCCATTTTCTCTCTGAGCCTTGGTCCATTTTCTCCCCTCTGTTGGCAATGCCCACCCCAACTGTGCCTGTGTCCTTCGAGCTCCAGTTCAAATGTCACTTTGCCCACAGGCCTGTCTGACCCTAGCCTGGGTCACCTCTTTGAGGACCCTCCTGAGACCCCTGCACCCACACTCTGGGTTGGGTTACCCAAGCAGAGACATTGCTCCCTTGTGGGTTGGTGAGTCAGTCCCTGGAGGGCAGGCCCAGTCCACTCCCACCCTAGCACGAGGCCCTGGGGGAGCAAACGCTCAGTAAATATTTGCTTAATCGAATTTGGCCAAGGAGCTACCTCCAGACAGAGCCAAGGCAGCGGGACTCGGTCCCCAGGGCAGGGAAATCACTTGGGCAGAAAAAGAGCCGGTCAGGGGCTGGGCTGTCTCCTGAAGCCCCGCCAACGTGCCTATCAGGCAGGTCCCTCCATCCTCAGACAGGACTCCAAGGAACCCTGGTCTCGCACAGCCTTTCCATCCTTGTAACAGAGAACCCCAGTTCTCGGCCTAGGCGGATTCCTGTCATCACCCAGAGGCTCAGCACATCCTGAAGACAGAGTCCCCTCGGATGCCGAGCCCCAGCCCCGAGGCCCTTCCCCTCCCCCCAAACACCCCCACCGCCTTTTAAGGGAAAAAAATATTGAGCCAGGAACAAATCAAAATCGCAGTGGGTCGATACTCATCTTGCTCCAAATGCCTTGGAGCAACCTGCTCACTGCAAGAGCGGTGACCGAAAACATAGCCTTGCGTCCTCGGGCCCAGGCCTCCAGGGCCCTCTTCTCGGTTTCAGCCAAGGCCACGCGTCGGCGCTCCCGCCGTCCTGGTCGCCACCTCCCCGCTCCCCCCAGAGGGAGACCCTGCCTCAGCGCCGCTCCCGCAGGTTACCGGCCCAGCCCCTGCTCCGCATCAGCAGCTGCTGGAGGGGGGAGGGGTGGGTGGGTAGCGCGGCATCCCCAGCGGCCGCTGTCCACTATCCCGGGCCCGCCGCTGCCCCCTCCCGCCGGCTCCTCGGCCCGGCGGTGCCCCGTCCCCAGCACCTGCCAGGCCCGCGGCCACCCCTGCCCACCTCGCGGGCATCACCGGCCGGGCATCCCTGTCGCTGTGCCCGGCACCCCAGCCCGGGCGGATCCCCGGCACAAAGGCCCGGGCGGGGCCCCGGGTGGGGGTGGGGTACATGCCCCAGCCGCGCCCCGGGCCCCCAAAGGCTCAGCCGCACGCCCTGGCCGCGGGTCCACTCACTCACCTCCGGGCCGCAGCACCGTGCATCCGCCGAGCTATTCCGGGCGGCGCGGGAGGGCAGGGTGACGAGCGCGGGCCGCGGCGCCCTCGTTCCGCACGACGCGGGCGGCGGCGCCCGCGCGGGGACGTGACCGGACCGCGGGCGGCGCACACACTCCGGCCGCCCTGGCTCCCTCCGCCCGCTCTCCCGCGCCGCCCGCCGCCCGCGGGTCCGCCCGCCCCGCGCTGCCGCCGCCGGCAGGGGGCGGAGCCGCGAGCGCAGCGCGTTGCCAAGCCAACCGCGGGCGGGGGTGCCGCGCGCCCGCCGGTGACCACGCGCCGGGCGCCACCGCCCCGCCACGAGCGCCGAGTCGCTGTTCATTGGGTACGCGCGGCTGACGGACGCATTTGCAGCCCAATGGTGAAAGGCAGGGGCGGGACCGCAGCTCCGCAACTCGGTGCGCTCCGCACCCGGCACGCGTTGCTGGCACTGGCGTACCCCAGACCTGGTTACCCCGAGGCCTGGGCTCCCTCCCAGTGGAACTGCTTTTGGCAGCTCTAGAGACCGAGCCGAGCCTGAGAGCGGTGGATGGCCCCTGCCCCAGCTCGCCTCCTCTGGCTCGAAATCAAACCCAGCTTGGCCTTTTCTGAGCTTCGCGACCTTGGGCAACTATCTGGGCCTGTTTTGCAAAGTGGAGCTAGTGGCACCCGCTTCCCTAAATTGTCGCGACAATCCACTAGAATGTGTGAAAGGGATGTGCAAACCCTAACGTTTTACACCGGTGGGTGAGGTTTGTGCAGCGATGGGAGGGGCGTTAGTCATCCTTTGCTGGCATGCCCAACTCTTCAGGGTCCCTGGCAATTCTGGCCACGGAAGGTTGCCTTGGAAGAGAGGGGAGGAAGTAGGGCCCAAGAGCTGTCCCCCAGACCAGAGAGGTGAGAGGGAACCAGCCCAGTTAAGGCCAGAGTCCCATTAATGCCTTTGGGAAGGAAGCTCGTTGAAGGCATGGGATGCTCAGCAAAATGCATCCCAGGGCTGTCTGTCAAATTTTGTTTCAATTTCAGGGGGAGCCCATCTATGGGCCTCAGAGCCAGGAGCCCCTCACTCCCGTGCTTAAAAGGCATCAATGCCTTCTCTGTCTTCTCCATCATTGTAACTGAAGCTTTGTACATCCTAGAGCATCCCTGGTAAAATGCAGATGTTTCCACCCAACACTGTCCTTATCACTCTACACTATCATGGTCATATTACAAGGAGCATTCCACTCGTGGGCACAGAAGCATTGGAGCTTCCACTTGTGGGCACAGAAGCATTGGAGCTGACCATTGACAGAAGTAGATGGGGTGTTGGCCTCAGCCCAGGTCTGTGGTCAGAAGACAAGGGGCAGGTATCTGGCTCTGCCAGCTGGACACTGTGGCATCTCAGCATCATCCATGACCTCTCTGGTATGATTCCTCTGCTGTGAAATGGAGACACCATTGCACTACCTACTCTCAGGGTTGTAGCCCACCTGTGAAGAGGCTGCCTAAACTGTCAGAGACAGGACAGAGGTTGGTGATGGGCATCCTGAGGTGAACCTAGACCTGGCACAGTGCTAGCTGGAGGTGGCCAATGAGAACCAAAGGAACGTTGCTAGCAATTGAGGGTTCCTCTGTGTGCATGTCCTCCATAGCACCAGGGTGGGTTAGGCTGGGCCTCTGCTGGAGGACCACACAGAGGCCAACAGCTGTGACAACAGGAAGACAGTGACACAGGCCCTGCCTTGGGGTGGACAGAGGGGAGAGGGAACTGAAAATGAAGCACAGGCCCAGGTCTGCTGCCATTTCCTGTATACCCTTGGGTGACTTATCTGGCTGAGTCCCAGTTTTCTCTTCTGTCAAAAGGGGACACCAACCCTGGCCGGTTTTGATCAGCGGTTAGAGCATCAGCCGGCAGACCAGAGAGTCCCGGGTTTGGTTCCCACTAAGGGCACATACCTCAGTTGCACTTTGTCCTCTGCCCCGGATGGGGTCATGTGGGTGGCAGCCAGTTGATGTGTCTCTCTCACATCGATGTTTCTCTCTCTCTCTCTCTCTCTCTCTCTCTCTCTCCACACTTCTCTCCCTCTTGCTCTATCTGAAGATAAATGCAAAAATGTCCCCAGGTGAGGATTAAAGGGGGGGGGGCACCATAGACTGTCCCTAGAGAGTGATCCTGAGGAAGAATGCACATTGGCACATGTCCAGAGATGAGTGAGAATAGATTCTATTGCAGGATCATGGGGTAGAGTTGAACTACTTGCAAGGGCAAACCTAGATACAAGCATGAGATGACCCTCTACAGCAGTTCAGGTGTGAGATCAGAGGCTAACCCATTGAGGGGTCTAATGGGGCTGGCTGCTGCCTCCCTCACCTGGTCCTGGTGGCCACCTTGAAGTGAGAGGTCATATGGTATCAACTAATGATTGTAATCCTTCACACAGCAATCCTTATCAATGGCCTCCTCCGCTCTAGGCACAGTTCTAGAGTTTAGACAGAACTAGCCCTGCCTATTAGACCCTCCTGTCTGCAGGGCAGAGGCAGACAGCAGAACATAATCCACCATTATAATTGTTCGAGGCTTGATGGCAGAGACCCACCAGGGATCTGGGGGCATGTGGCAGGGAAGCACTGGGCACTGGGACAGCAGGAGTGGAAGTGGCCAGTGACTTGGGGCAGGAGAGGAGCATGCTCCGAGGTGGAGAAGGCACTAGGCGTGAAGGAGTGTGAGGCCTGGAAGAACCCACAGAAGACCAATGTGGCTAGAGCCAGTGAGCAGTGAGCGTGTGAGGGCGTGAAAACACAAGGCTGCAGCGGGGCTGGGAACAGTCATGCCAGGTGGGTGGCCCATGTGTAGAACTGGGGCCATTGGCCCAAGACCCACTGGAGAGTTTTAAGGTTAGCTTTTTAAATCTGAGTGGGAGGAAGACAAATTTTTGTTTCATATTTACAGTAGGCATGTTCCCACAATGGGAGTTGTCCTACTGTGCAGAACCAAATAAAAAAAACGACAACTAATCAGTCCCAAGAAAATATAGCAGAGAAGTCAGTGCATGATGTTGGGTTCAGTGTAGGGCCATGGGATCGACCACTGGGAGACAGCATGTGTCAGGAGATGGCGGTGTGGTGGCTGCAGCCATAGAGAGAACGAGCTGGCCCTGGTGGTGGGGTGGGGTGGGGATCAAAGAGGGGACCCCACATGAGACACTGGTGGAGGGAATGGCACTTGCTAACCAGTTGGAGAGGTGGCCAGGAAACCAGGGAGTGGAGGGTCCCAGAGCCATGGGAAGGAAGGAAGGAAGTCTCGAGAAGGAAGACATAGCCGTGTCACGTGCTATTGCGAGTTAGGCCAAGAAAGCTGAGGACAGAGAAGCATTGCCTAAGCAAGGGCAGGCACAAGTGGGGATTCGGTGTGCTAGGAGTTCAGGGCATGGGGGCCACACGAGGCTAAAGCCAGACAGGTGAGTCACTATGAATCATGGTGGGCCCAGTGTGCTGGGTAAAGATGTAGTCCCCAGGGCTGGGGCCAGCACTCTGTCATGAGTCCTTACTGGTCAGGACAACAGGACCAGAGACAACAGCTGGGGCTCTGTGGTAGAGAGAGGAAGAGGGCCTTGGTGACTGAGCCCACCCGGCACCTCACCAACCCAGCAGGGAAGGCTGGCTGAGGAGCAGCCCCCGGAGGTGGTGTCAAACCCTCTCCCAGGAAATAACCAAACCACAACCAAAGTGGGTGTCCACGCTGTGGACATCGTGACCCTCAATCTCAGCGGAGCTTTCTGGCTCATTAGCCACTGAGCCCATCCTGGCACACCAGCCATCAGGACCCTTCCCAAACACAGGTGGCTCATGCCTTTACTCCTCTGCCCCATGAGGCCCAGCTCCCCTGGGCCTCCCTTACTACACAGCAGGAGTCCCTAGGACCCTGGAACTCCTCGTTTGCACGTGTGTCAACCTGTGCTATAATGACCGGTCCCAGCTGACTCTCCCACTAGTCTCCCCACACCTGAGTTTGGGGGTGTTGGTGTCTTACTGTCTATGGACCTCTGGCGATTGTCCCCTCCTGGCTGACTTGGCCCTGTGCCTTACCTGTCCTGTTTCTCCAACCCTTGCTGGCCAATTCTCAGGGCCAGGTGATAGGGCCAGGTCTTTCCAGTTTATTTCCTTGGGGTCTCTGCGTGTGAGTGCGCGCGCGCACGCACACACACACACACACACACACACTTACATTTGAATAAACCATTGCAGATCTGGGTTAGTTATAAATAGCCAGGCCTGCGACTCTCCTTTTAGCTGAAAAGAAGCAAAGTGAACGAGCAGAGAGGCACACCCTGCACGCGTTTTATTTTTGATTTTCTCCCTGTCTTGGAAAGAACCCGGGTCCCGGTGCTCAGCATTTCTAGAAGCAGAGACCCAAGACAAATGCCTGAGAAATGGAACCTGGGGAGCTGAGGGCCCTGGCCTGGCCCTGGCTGCTATGTGGCCTTGGGCACTTGAGTTGCTTCTCTGGGCCTTGGTTTGCTCATCGAGCTTGGGAGCAGTGGCAGCGATGACCTCTAACACTTTGGCTTTCTGACTTCCACACCCTACTTGTGTGCTGCCTCTCCCTCCCACAACAGCCTGTGGCTCCAGCGGCAGTGGTTGTCCCTGGAAGGCCAGGCCCAGGTGCAAGTGAGGCCACAGTCAAACCCTGATCGGATGATGCACATGTTCCTCATGCCCAGGCCTCTGCTCAGATATTCTCAGCCAGGAAGCTCCTTCCATCAGCCAGCAAAATCCTTCTTAGAAAGTGAAATTGTCACCTCCCCACTGTGAGCTGGGGACAGCCCCGTCCAGGTCCTGGCTGAGAGGGACCCCTGCCTGGACAGGTGGGGAGCCTGTGGGCTGGTGCCTGCCTGGGGAGTGGGAAGTGGAGCAGGAGCAGGAGGCCCTGGTGCATCTGTCAGTGGCCTGTCTGGAAGGGAGGGCTGGCAGGGAGAGAGGCCCAGGCGCCCAGGAGAGGCGGCCTGCGGGGCCCACCGATAGGCACTCCCGCAGGGCAAGGACTGTACAGCTTTTGTCCGTATTCCAATCCTCATCCCCACCCCACAGGCTCTTGCTTGTGTCTGGGACTCTGTGTTGGTGGAATTTGGGGCATACAGTGACCACCCCTTACACAGAGCATGTTCCCACCCACTACCCCATTGGCATTGCTCACACCCTCACCAGGAAGTCTCAATTTCACGAAGAAACGAGGCTCAGAGAAGTTAAGTACCTTGTCCAAGGTCACCTAGCTGGGTACATTTAGGAGTCCAGTCTAGGCTTTTCCTGGAAATCTGTGTGTATTAAATCCTAAAAAGCCCGGTACTCTTGAACAACAGAAAACTGCTTTTCCCTGTGGTGAGTGGCCCGAGAACAAATGGCTGCTCCACCACCCCGAGGAGAAGCTGGCGGGGGCACTGGGAGCTGCTGGACCTGCCGCCCTGCTGCCCTGCCTCTCTGCCCCCTCACTCCACCCCTCTCACCCCGGGGCTGCCATTTGATGCCCTTTGAGAGTGAGGGAGAAAGGCTGGGGTGATGTCTTCAAAGAGGAAATCCTGGTGCTAATTGGCACTCAGAGACCTTTAGGCTAATTAACCTGTTTAATTGTCTCTAGAGTAAATTAGAGGGTTTCGCTGGGGAGGGCGGGAGAGAAAGGTGTTTGCCGTGGCCACCTCTGTGAGGGCTGTAGATGGCTTTTTGGTGGGGCCACAGGATGTGAGCCGAGGAGGCGGGGAGAGGGCGGCTGCAGGGCAGTAGTGAGGCGCCCTCGCGCCAGGGGAAGGGCTGCGCTCCCTGGCGGCATCCTGCTCACTTCCCTATGAGTGCTGCTCCGGCGCCGGGAGCTGGGCCCTGGGGGTGCCACTGGCTGTTCTGGCTTCTTCTGGCAGACATTCCCCAGGAGGGACTAGGGCTGGGAAGAACGAGGGGAGCCCCTTCACTAGGGAGGCTCACCGCATTGTTTCTCCCAGCACCAGCCCCCAGCCATGCCATGTGGAGCCCCCTTCCTTGGGGCCCCAGGTCTCTTTAAGACCCCTTGGTCAGAATCTATGGCTTTCCTGTCACTTTTGGTTGGGGACACAGCTTTTTGGTGGATGAGAAGCCAGCCTGTTCACACTGTCTTCCCCCTCGGACTCCACTACAAGCTCTTCCTCCTGCCTCCAAGGGCCAGCAGGCTGGGCCGGGGTCTCTGTAGCTTAGAGATGTTGCAGGTGGGAAGGAGGGCGTGGCTGGTCCCCCACTCAGTGCTTCCCTTTGGTGCAGGTGGGGAAGGGAGGAGGGCTTTTTGTGTGCCTGGGTCTCCCAGGGGTGAGCTGCTGTGCTCTCCAAGAGGTGGCAACACCTCAATTTAAGATCGATGCCCCTAAGTCATAAATGACCAAAGGCTGGCACCTTTCTGGGCCCTCTTGGGCTTCACAGACCCCACCCTGCTCGTCACCCACAGCCTCCTGCTGGCTGCCCAGCCCCCCTGCCCGACAGGGGAGCATTTGCAAGTTGTCTTGCCTGGCCTCCTGCAGGACCCTGCAGGACTCTCCATGCCTCTGTATGACACCCAGCCTGGGTGGGGGGCGTGGTGGCCCACCCTCGGTGTCCTTCCCTTTCCTGCAGGGGCCCTGGGCATCGTCAGCAGCGGCCTGGTCCACTCACTGGTGTGGAAGCTGCAGAGGGAGGAGGAGAAGATCCAGGAGCTCCTCCTGGACACGCTGGCGGCCTGCCTGCTGGAGGGTGCCACCGAGGCGCTGAATAGCCGCGTGGTGCCCTTCCTGAAGGAGAAGCTCCTCAGTGGCAATGACAGCATCCGCAGCAAAGCTGCCTGCACGCTCATTGCCGTCAGGTGAGGCCTGGCCTGCAGGTGGCCAGCCCTGGGCCTGCTGCTGAGGCGCAGAGAAGGCGACAGCCGAGCTGCCCCTGGCCTCGCAGCCACTCCTGGGGTTCACAACAGGGGAAGCTTTCCCCGGGGAAACATGCAGCACCGTCCGTCTGGAGACTGTTCTGGTGTTGCAACGTGGGAGTCGAGTGGATAGAGACCAGGATGCTGCTCACATCTCAAAATGCACGGGACAGCCCCTCACGGAGTCCAGTGGAGCTGCGGGGAGAAACCCTGCTCCTGCCTCGGCAGCACTGGCCGCAGGACCCCTGCAGGACCCTGCACCTTGGTCACGTTCCCGAGGGTGGAGGTCCTCTCTCCTTACAGCTCAGCAGCCTCACAATGTCAGAGCCAGTGGCTCCCTGCTTCCCAAACTAGGACACAAAACGCCGGCGTCTTTTGAGATGCTGTTCAGAGTTTTGCTAACATGAAAGTTCTGTGGGCAGCGATGTTTGGGGGAGGTCGATTCGCTAGGTGACTCAGGGCCTCTGCTGCTGGAGGAACGTGCAGTGTGGCGCCCGCGGGGCCTGTGGGCAGTGTTTCCTGGCCCGAGGGACCTTTCTCTTTGGGGACAGTGTTGGCCCTCTCACACATTGGGAAGCTCTTAGGGAGTCCACAACTTTCACTTTCACAACTTCATCCAATGCCAGCACTAAAAGTGATCAAAGGGTCATCTTGCCTGAGGGCGGCTGCTGTTTGCATGGCGTAGCCGGGTGGGCAGCTGGGACTCTTATGGAGACAAAATGAGTCTCCCTATGGTTTTCACCCTGGGTCCTGCCTCTCTCCATTTTGGGGCCGGGGATTCGTCTGGTTTCTTCTCATGATACCTTAGGGCAAAGCTCCATCACCCCCTGGCTCCTGAGTAGTCTCACCTTCAATGGCCCCAGTCCGTGCTCCCAGGTTGTCTGAGTGCAGGAATGAGGCCCAAACCTCACATCAGTGCTCTCCTGCCCCCTGGGCCCAAGCCCTAGCCAGGCCTGGACCACCAGCGATGGTCTCAATGCAAGTCCTTTTCTCTGGTGTCCCCCTGGGGTGGTCCTGGGTCCTGCTCCTTTCCTCCACCCAAGCAAAGCCACCAAACTCTGCCCTCTCTGGCCTAGCATCCCTCTGGAGGGCAAGAAGCAGGTGTGTCAGTACGATGTCATCCCCATCCTGGTGCACCTGCTGAAAGACACGGTGGACGAGGTGCAGGCCAGTGCTGCTGGGGCCCTCATGTATGCCACGGTGACCACTGAAGGTGAGGCAGCCTGCAAACTGGGTGCCCAGGTGGGCGGGTATCCCCCGTGTGGGTGTTGGGGCTAACTGGTGTGTGTGTGTGGGGGTCACTGCAGCCTCCCAGCATGTTGGCTACCCCAGACAGCTTTTATTTTTTATTTATTTATTTTTCCCTCGGACATTTTTTTTTTTTTTTTTGCATTTAGCTTCAGATAGAGCGGGAGGGAGAGAGGGAGGAAGAGAGAGAGAGAAACATTGATGTGAGAGAGACACAGTGAGTGGTTGCCACTCACACAACCTCAACCGGGGCCGGGGACAAACTACAACCGAGGTACGTGCCCTTAGTGGGAACCAAACTTGGGACTCTCTGGTCCACGGGCCAGTGCTCTAAGCGCTGAACCAAACTGGCCAGGGCCCGGCCAGCTTTTCAAAACTTCTCATCTTGCCCCTTCCTGCCCTGCCAAAATACTCCTGACCTGGTGTTGAAGTCCTTTCAAGTTTGGGTCCCAGGCTCCGCCTGCCCTTTCCTTCCCAGCCATAGTGGTATCCATCCCAGTCACTCACATTAGGATCACTGTCCCTTCCCTCCAGGTTACTCCCTGGGCCTGGGATTCCTGCCTCTGTCCCAGGCTTCTTGTGAGCCATGATTCTGGAATTGTTTAGTTTGCCATTCCTGATTCGGTTATTCTGAGGTGTAAGCAAACACTGGAGCCCTCAGTTCTGTGGAGATTGAAATTACTTTTCTCAATTGGGGGAACAGCTCAGAGTATAAGATTGTCTCCCCAACCCTGGGACTTCCAACCACTCTGGCTTCTATAGTCTGTTACCAAACCCTGGGCTAATGGAAGGGACTAAGGCAAGCCATCCCTCTGTGGTGACCTCTGAAAGCTGTCTGACCCTCCCCATGGCTCACCTTCTCCTGCACCAGCCTATGCCCTGGGCTTCCTGGCATTCCTGGGAAGACCGTCTGGGCCTCTGATTCTCAGTCAACATGCTGCAAAGACCTGAGTGGGGGCCTCCCGGCCACTGCCCACCTGATCCTTGTGGAATCTGAGGCACACCAGAGCGGGGGGCTGGGGCCTTCCCAGAGCCCGCAGCCCCAGTTTGATGGTGCAGTCCGGATGCTGGCCAACAGTCAGGGGCAGGAGCTCCCCTGTGTGCTTATCTCGAGGACATTCTCAATGCAGTCTCCCCCCAGGGTTCCTGTGGGGGCTCTCGGAGGGCCAGAGGGCTCATGGGGGTCTGGGCAATGGCCAGAGCCTAGGGACGTGAGGCCACTTTTTCCGGAGCTGGCATTCCACTGTGCTGGGTGGTGGAGACCCAGCCGTCTCAGCCGCGGAGTCTACAACGTGGTGGGAGTGGCAGAGTAATGAGTGACATGGGGGGAAGTGCTACATGCAGTGGGTACAGGGCAGGGGCAGAGTCTCCTCTTGGAGGAGGGTTGGTGTTGACCCCAAGGACAATGGGAGCTGGCAGGGTGAAGGGGCTGGGGTAGACAGGTCCCAACAGCGAAGGAAAGAGTGCTCAGGGCAGGAAGGTTGGGGACAGGGGGCAGTAACACCTTTTAGCAGGTGAGGTGGGGTGGGGGGTTGGGGAAGGCAGTGAAGGGTTAAGGAGGGGCGTCTCCTTTACACATTAATGCCTGTGTCCCCCACTAGACTGTAAGTGCTATAAAGGCAAGCACTGTGTGTCTTTTTGTGCCTGGTGTAGAGCAGGTGCTCAAGAAATATTTGCCACATAAATGAATGGCTGAATATTCGTTTTTAAGAGACCACTTGTGTTACCTTGTGAGGACCAGATTATGGAACAGGCACCAGGATGGAAGGGGAGAAGCCAGTTAGGGTGCTGGAGGGCAGGAGGTGATGGGGTCTGAACTAGGCTGGAGGGAGAGGAGGGTACAAGGGCACCTCCCCTGAGACTGCGCAGGCCGAGGCTGGGGGCGGACTAGGGTGAGAGGAGGTGGGGCAGTGGCCCGCTCAGGAACACCTGCTGTTGGTGACCCACAGGGAAGTATGCTGCCCTGGATGCAGAAGCCATCCAGCCGCTCCTGCAGCTGCTGAGCTCGCCGTTGAGAAAGGCCCGCCTGAACGCCATCAAGGCCCTCACCATGCTGGCTGAGGCCCCCGAGGGCCGCAAGATCCTGCAGGTCAGCGTGCCCACCTTCCGTGACCTTGAGATGGATGCCAGTGAGGCTGTGCAGCGGGCAGCCCAAGTGGCCATCAAAGTCATTGAGTGGAAACCCTGAGCCTCTTATGAGGCCAGACCTGATAAGTTCCATGCCTGAATAAATGGGCTGAATTTCTTTCTTTTGGGTCTGAATGTCACTTAATGTTCATGGAGCATGGTCATATCTTTCTCTCTCCTGCCAAAGAAGACACACCCAGCCCAGAAGGACCAGGTCACAGGTGGCCCGGTGAGGCAGCACAGGCTGAACTCAGGGCCCAGCGACTGGGGGGAGGCAGCTCTGCTCTCTGCTGGGGCCAAGAGTCTCCTCGGAAGGTAGAGGGCAGGGCAGAGCCTTCCAGGGACAAGAGATGGGGAAAGAGAGTTGAGTGGGGGGAAGAAACACAGCAGGACCAGGCATCACCCAAGCTTCAGACATTGGAGTGACTTGACCCTTGGGGTGTGGCTGGACATGGCCCTGCTCAGCCAGGTCTGCTCCCTTCCCACACTGGGTAGGAAGGGTAGTTAGAGGTGTCACCCCATGTACGCTCTTGCTGGAGGAGGGTGAGTTGTAAGAGGCCCTCCCAGAGATGAGTGCTTAGATCAGGGATGCTCCTTTAGATTTTCCTCCCAAACAGCCACATTCTCCTCTAAAGGCAGGAAGTCACCGGAGTATGTTCCAGGCAGGCCTGATGGCACTGCCCACCCACCAACCCTCCCCCTGCTGTTAGCCTGGCCCGGATCTAGTTTGCCTCCACCTGTGCCTTCATCTGCCTTGCTTTCCCCCAAAGAGAAATTGGCTGCGGGGGCTGAGAGCTGGAGGGAGGGGAGAAGCCAGGTATGCATGAGGACCCCTCAATCTCCCCACCAATCTGTGCCTGGTCTGGCAGGGTGACTGTTCTTCAGCCAGTTTTGACCTCTGCTAGAGAAGCTACGGGAGGGGGCTTAGCATTTATTTGGGATGAGCTAGAGCTCTCCCCATGGGGTTTTGAAGGTTCCCTGCCTCCAACAAGGTCTCCCTCATTATATCACCAGCAGCAGTCATATTTCCTGTGGGACAGAACCTTCCTGGCTAATGGCATGCCCACTCCTCCAGCAGTAAACATTATTGGCAGAACCAGCATTCCCAAGTGAGCACCCTCTGGATGTCCTTGCAGTGACAGGGGACTTCACTTTCCTCGAAGAAACACAGAGAAGTCTGTGTCCCTGGAATTAGAGGATTAGCCCAAGAGGTACAAGAGGGCATATTTGTTCTGAAAGGGATTGGCTGCTGGGCCCAGCTGGGGTCAGGTTAAACTCATTCTCAAAAAAGGTCCAATAAAAAGGAAACCTTTCCTTCTTTAGGAAAACAGGTGCTCCAGGGGCTCCAGGTCCTCATGTCCCCGTCTCACCTGAGCCCACAGCAGGCTGGCCCCACCCCTATTGTCTCACCAAAGGGCTCTGGCCTCCTTGCTGCCAAGACCCTGTGCTTTCTGTGACTGACACATGCAGAGGCCCAGTGTGGCTGTTTCCTTCTGCGGCAGCTGACTCCCCTGGAGGCTCCGGCCCTGCCCTTTTGGTTTCCTTGGGAAACCTCTTTCTTTACACGACCCGGGTTTTAGGGTTTCCCACAGCTGTGTTCTAGGCCCTCTCCCCCTCCCACTCTCCTGCAGTCTCATCTGCCTGCCAGGGGCCTCCTCTACTAGGTTCCCTGCTCAGCTAGACCTGCCTGCTGCCTTCTTTCCTTCAAATCTGGTCTCTAGCCCCAGCCTCTCTCGTGAGTTCCGGACCCTTCTATCCAACTTAACATCTACCCTTAAATGTCTCCAGGCAAGAATTAATTCCAATCCTTCATAAACTGTTCCCAAAAATAGAAGAGGAGGGGGTACTTCCCACCTCATTCTGTGAGGCTCATATTACCCTGATATCCACACCAGAAAAGGACATCATAAGAAAACGACAGGCCAATACCTTTGATTAATATAGACACAAAAACTCAACCAAATATTAGCTAATCAAATCCAGCCAAATTAAAAAAAAACATTATATACCATGACCAACTGGGATTTATCCCAAGAACGTGAGGTGGTTTAGCATATGAAATGAATCAATGTAACATATAAATAGAAAAAAAGGACAGAAACCACACGTTCATCTTAATAGATGCAGAAAAAGCATTTGATGAAATCCAATACCCATTTATATATATATACATATATATATGTTATGTATGTATATATGTGTGTGTATAAAAGAAACCTCTCAGAAAACTAGGAATAGAGGGAAACGTTTTAATATGATAATATCTGTAAAAACTCACAGCTAACACCATGCGCAACGGTGGAGGGATGGATGCTTTCCCACCAAAGTCGGAACAAGATGATGTCTGCTCTCACTGCTTCCGTTTGACAAGACAATGAAATAAAAGGCATCCAAATTTGAAAGAAGTAAACTATCTCTATTTGCAGACCATGTGATTTTGCATGTGAAAAATACCCCCCAAATGCACTTAAAAACTATTAGAACTAGTAAGTGAGTTCAGCAAAATTTCAGAACACCAGATCAACACACAAAAATTGTCTTCTTTTTTTATGCACCAGCAACAGAAACCCAAAAGTACAATTAAGAAAACAATTCCATTTACAATAGCATGAAAAATAATAAAATACCTATGAATAAATTTAGGGGGAAAAAAGCACAAAACTTGAGTGCTGAAAACAAAATATTGTTGAAAGAAATTAAAGAGGAATCAAATGAATGGAAAGACATCCCATGTTCATGGATCAGAAAACTTAATATTGTCTAGATGGCAATTAGTGTAGTATGTTCATACAACTCACACTAAACATGTCCCAAACAGTGCTCAACTCTCCCCACCCCACGTGCCCTTTTTCCAGTGTGGCCTGTCTTTAGAAGTGGTGTATCCCTTGCTCATGTGCTCAAGCTGGAAAGTCACCCCTGCCCCCTCCCTCCAGAAGTCTAATCACTAGAGTCCTGTTACTTCTAATAGATGGCTTCTCTTGATACCATCCCCTTCTCTTGAGTTCTCTTTCAATAAGTTGCCTGATTGCTCTAACAGTGTCTTGCTGGGTGTTCTGGCCTCCCTTCATCTTTCCAGCAGCAGCCAGCAAATCTGATCATATAACTTCCCCTCTGAAGCTCCAGGGACTTAGGATCCCAAAGCACAGAAGGCCTTCAGGTCAGGCCCCTCGCCACCTGTCCTCTTATCTCCTACTGTTTTTCTCTACACAGGTCACATCTCAGCATCCTCAAACATGCCTTGAACTCTTGCCTCATGTCTTCCCACAGGCTGTCCCTTCTGTTTTGCAGCTAATTGACCTACTTTGGTCATGAGAGGCCTTCCCTGAACTTGAGGCTAGATGGGGCTCCCTGCTGGGCACTCCTGCAGTGTACAGTGTGGAGGGCCAGGGTAGGCCTTGGTGTCGGGCAGGGCTGCTTCGGACCTCATGCCCACTCCCTTTTTATTAGGGTTTCTTGCCGGGCCTCAGTATCCTCCTCTGGGAAATGTGGTTAATTCTAGTTTTTCCACGAGGATGGTTCTGTGACTTGAATGTGATAATGTTCTTACCCCAGGCAGGAAAACAGCAGGCCACGCTAAGTGCTAGCAATCATTTAGGTGGGGAGGGGCCTGATGTACAGGCCTTAGATGCTTTGGGACCCTAAGTCCCACTAGTGTTTCATTGTGTCTTCCCCCGCCCCCCTCCATAGGCCCTGGGCTCTGTTCACAGCGGTTTCCTTGCAGCACCCGCATATAATAAGTACTCAAAAGTGTCAGCTGAAGGATTAACCTAGGGATGAGGAGCTGGTCATGTTGGTGCACCTTCAGAATATAATTTTTGCTATGCTGGTGGGTCTTCCCAAATTACTTCAAGGCACTTGAAATATTTTCTAAAGACACAAATCATTTATTTTTTGTCTGAGAATAATTAGGAGGGAGCCCCTGCAGAAACACAACCCAGGAGTGGCCTATATTTGACAGCTAAAGGGAATCTAACACCTGGACCCAACTCCCAATAACATCCCAATGGCTTGCAGACTGGGAGGGACTGAGAAGGGCTTGGCAAGGATGGCATGGCAGCAGCCAGACAGTGCTGAGTGGTAGGGGTCCTGCTCGCTAGGGCAGAGACTGCCTCAGCCCCTCCACTGGTCCAGCAGGAGCCCAAGTTTCCATCCACAGGCAGATCTGGCTCCAGCTGGCCTGTGTGGTCATCAGTGGGTACACTCCTGTGGGTAGGAACCCCAGCATCGGGGGTGCCTACACTACATGGCATCTTTGCCAGCAGGGGCACACATTTAAACAGGAAGAGAGAACAAGGCAAAGGGAGGTTGGGTATAGGAAGAACATGGTGACAGTAAAGTAAAAACCCCAAATACATCTAGAGATGAAAAGACAAAATTAGATTTAAAGTGAAAGTCAGTGTTTATGCAGTAGAGCCATTTGGAGAAAATGACTCATTTTGTAAAGGAACAGATGTTCTCATTTGCATATTCTCTGCAATCATGAATGGATTTCACTCTGTCCCCTCAGCAAACATGCCCTGCAGCTGGTGGCACTTGATGAGTGACACCGAGGGAGCATTTTCATTAGCGTAATCCTTGGTCCCACGTCCATGGGTCTCCCAGTAGGAAACACTTCCTCCTCACAGTGATGAGGGAGTCTGGAAGAAGCAGCATTTTGCTTGCTCTTCCCAGACGCCCCTGAGCCGAGCCGCTTTAGTGGTAGAGGATGTGGCACAGGACTGTGATCAGCAGCAAGAGGAACCCACTGACATTGGCAACTTTTCTCCAGAATGGTGACTCCAACTTGTCACGGTGGTCTGTCCTGTCAGATGTGGCACCATGCTCCTTCATCTTCTCTGTGGTTTCCTCTTCTGGGGTCAGTTTGGAGCATGGCTTTGGCTCCAGGCCACAGAACACATCCAAGGCCTTCCAGAAGCAGCCCTGGGTCTCCTTCAATACACCTGGAATAGAGGGAATAGGCAAAGATCAGGAGGACACAGGAGAAAAAACTTTCTAGGGGGTCACATCTCAGCAGTGAGTCCAGCAGGAAGATCGATAGCCTTGCTCTAATATGAAGAACAGTCTTCAGCCCCTGCTACGGAACACCCACCACCATCCTTAGAGATCCAGGAAAGTGGGACGAGCAACAGGGATGAGGGGAACATGTGGGGGCAGAGTGGGGCTCCCTGGGGCCGTGCTTGCCTTCTATTGGCAGAGCCTTTGGCTGGGCCCAGATCCCCTGAACTGGGTGGTGGTGGTGGTGAGGGAGCCTCTGCCATCACAGGAGCAGGCCAACCCCGGTTTGGTTCGTCCTTTCCTGTCTCGGGGACACAGCCAAACACAGCTCTATAGGTCTAGGGCAGGTGGCTGCCCCTCTGAATCCCCCTCCCAGTCACTACTCTCCAGAGATGGAATAAATCTACCTATTTTTTGAAGCACACACTGCCCTGCTTTGCAACATCTCAGGCAATGTCTTCTCCAGGCAAGTATGTCTCACAGCCGGGCCCAAAATAAGGCTCTTCAAGCCCTTGAAGGGGAATCACTGGTGTTTCCCAGGAGGCAAAGGAGGAAAGTCTAGAAATTATAGGAAAGTTTCCACTCATTTCTCTAGGCCAAATTTGTGTCAACACCTAACTCTGGGGCTTAAAACTTCGCTCTTGTCAGTCCAGCTCCTGCTGCCGGTCCTCAGCGCCTGCTCAGGCGCGGTCAGCACCACGGCCAGCGCCAGCGCATCCCTCTGGACCAGCTGCGCCGGGAGCGCTCCCTCCTTGATGAGAGACCAGCGCACCAGTCTGAGCAGACCGCCAGCGCTGTGTGCGGTAACTGCTCTGTCCTGGGCAGCCTCCACACCTGCTGCGTCCTGAGGGTGAAGTGGTACCAGGAACGATGGGAACCTCTCTGTTATGGGGGAGGGTGGCTGCAGCCAGAAGACCCCCCAAGCCAGGGACCCCGATATCTGCTTAATGGTGCTGAGAAGTTCTGAGCAGCACACCCTGGCCCTGCTCTCTCAGATGCCCATGTTATACAGCACCATGCAGCTGCCAAACCCAAAGAGGCGGCTTATGTGAAAGGCAACTGATCTTTTGACAACAGCCTAAAAACAGTGTGATGGAAGGGGGGATCGGCCAGTGGCCAAGAGCACACACTTTGGAGTCAGACTGCCTGTGTTCAAATCCCAGCTCCACTACTACCTAGTTACGTATGGACCCCGAGGCAAGTCATTTAACTGTTCAGTGCCTCAGTTTCCCCATCTCTAAAGTGGGAATAATAATTGTACTTCTCACGCATGGAGATAATTTTGAGAGTGGCTGGCATACCCCAAATGGAGGGTAAAAGTTAGCCACTGTCATTATCATTGCCCACCCATGACAATGGAATGGGGAGAATTGAGAGGTACACCAAGAACAAGCGCCTGACGCACTGTGGGCACCCAGCTAGCCAGTTTCCCTCAACTAGAGCAGATACATTCCCAGGGAGCCCTGTATCCTGCAGGTGCGTGGGGCAGCCTTGCTCAGAGAGGCCACTCCTCCGCCCCACGCTGGCTGGGCAGAAGTCCAAGGAGCCCAGGCCTCTCTGGGCTCTGAACGTCCCCGGCAGGAGTGGAGAGGGGTCCTAAATCACTGCCTTTTCCTCAGGCAGGCTGTTCCCTCCCTCTTGACCTTTCTCACTGCCCCAGACTCAGGGCTAATCTCATTATGTCTTTATCCCTGTTTGCGTCAGAGACTCGAGACGCTCAGGCCATCCTTTCCTGTGGCTCTGAAGACTCCTTTTCTGACCCCATTTGCTGAAACCCTTCCTCTGGGCCCTCAGGCCCGCAGGGCCCAAGCCTCTGCCTGGAATATTCTCTCTTCTTATTTGGACTGAAGTCTAATTGTCCTTAGACCTGTTTTCTCCTGGTGCCCTCTTATGTGGGGTAGCCCCCTCCCTTGCAGACCATTTCCTGCCCCCTTCCAAGAAACCCTCTCATTTTGAATCCCCGTGTAAGCCTCCCTTTCTCCCCTCCCCTCCACCCCACCACATTGCTCTTGTCAAGATACATGATCTGTGTGCGGCTGAATCTAGCAGCTAGTTCTCAGGCACCTTTCTTCACCCATCAGTGGATTGATCACCCGCCCCCCTGAAATGCTTCTAGGTCACCAAACGCTTCTGTTCTTCTGACCCTTGGCTGGCTTTTTCCACATGGCCTGGAGTGCCCCCGTGCCTCGTGCCAGACCCCTCTTTCCCACCCCCATACCTGCCCTCCAGGGGTGGCCCAGTGCTTCTGCTGATGTCTCCCACATGGGTCTCTCCAGGCCAGGCCACTCCCCATAGATGTCCAAGAGGCAACTCAACCTCAACAGCCCCACAAACCCCTGAAGGCATCTTAAGAAAAATGAAAGGCAGCGTTGCTGCCTGGAACAGTATTTCTGGAAGTTGAGGTGGTGGGCAGGGGGTGCTGGGGCAGCAGCACAGGCCAAATGTACCCCACAAAACTCTGAAGAGGACCCCCTCCTAGGGCTTCGGATCCTCCTTCTCACCTGGTTTTGCTCGTAGTGCAGTTCTCTTCCCTTGTACGTCTGCGTCCAGATCTACCCTTTCCTCTTGGCTATTTCGTAAACTCCAACAGAGCCTGTGGAGCTGGGGGAGAGCAGGGCCCTGTCACCACTCAGGGCCCTGTCACACAGGCCTTATGGTGCCATGGCTGGCACGTGGGCACCAGGGTTGTGATGGACTAAAAAGGGATCTGGTCCTTCGACTCCAACAGAGACGGAAGGAATGTGGGGCGGGGAAAGCGTGGTGCCTGTCAACCCTGGGTTTCAGTTTGGCTCTGCTGTGTGGTTGTGTGGCCGTGGCAGAGGGTGCTTCGACCTTCCAGGCATCAGTGTTCTTCCGCTGTATAGTAAGGGCTGGGAGGCAACTTGCTCAGGGCTCCTGGTTCTGAGGGACCAGGAACCTGTACCCTCCAGGGTGAGAGGAGTCACCATCACCCAGGCTACTCCTGGTGGAGGCCCTCTCGCTGGACGAAAGCGACAGGCCAGCCGGAGCTGCTTTCCTCCGGAGTCCTTCCTGGCTGTCAGAGATGAGAACTAACTTGCCCCAAAGAGGCTTTACCTGTTTACTTGGTTAACCTGGATGAGCTCAGTTGCTCAAGCTCAACAAGGCATTTGTAGATGCAGAAGGGAAGCATCCCTTCCCTTCTGGTCTGTGATTTTGTTCTTTTCCTGAAAACATATATGGAAACTTTGGGAAGTAACAAAATCCAGCCAATCGTTGCCTCTTTTTTGCCCTCAAGAGTTGGGGTCAGCAGAAGCACAACTAAGGGAACATTTCTACCAAGCCTGTCCTGGAATGTATTTCAATCTATTACTATACCAGCCTGGTATATATGAACCTAGTACCCTCCACCCCTGCCAGCAAAGGGCAGGGATAGGAATGAGTTGGGCTGGCCCCCTCCCCAGCCAGCCCACTCCAAGACTTGTCTGACCCCCACCTCTTGGATTCAAGTGTTGGAACTAAACTTCTGTTGTGTTAATCAAAGGCTGGGTTTAGCCTTTAGTTGCTTCTTGATGATGCCATATGCACACACTTGCCTTCCCCTCTACACTGTCAGCCCCTGTGGCCGAGGTACTGGGTGCACTGGGAGAGCCAGGGTTCACCTGCTGTCCTGCCGCCCGGTGGTGGTGAGCAGAGGGCCTGGCCCAGTGCCTGGACATGGACACTGATCCATAAACACTAATTTTCCTCTTCATCTCCCTGCCTCTGTCAGCAGCTACTTTGTATTCTCCAGAGCACCTGGCCTACTGCTAGGCAGGTGGGAAACACTCAACATGTGCTTGGTTGCCTGAGAAGCAGGAAAAACCAAAAAGTTGAGAGTAAGAGGAGGGTAGGAAAGAACACAATCCAAACAACTAAGCCCCTGAGCAACAGGAAAATAAGTCCATCACCCTCAGCTTCTCAAGGTGCCAGAGCAGGGAGGTGTCCCACTGTCACTGACGCAGGGGTGGTGTGTGGTGGGCCTGCATCCCGGCCATCCCAGCCGTCCTCCCCATTGGCTCATCCCTCTTCCAGCTGGGCTGAGTGTGCAGGAGGGGAGGCAACCAAATGGAAACGACTTAACAGCAAGGGTGGCCGGAGAGGAAGCCCAGGGGTGAGCTGAGGACCCTGAAGCTGTCTTCCAAGTCCATGGCTTTTACCTATACCTCAGGCAAAGGTGCAAGACAGACATTAAGTATTGCAGACACTTCTCCCTTCTAAGCTCCTCCGGAAACTTTGGACATCCAGGACCCTCCTGCTGCTTTCTGGCTCAGCCAGGTCCCTGTCCTGCAGAGCCTACTGGCTGTGCCGCAGGTGGTGATGTGGTGGATCCAGGCTGGGGGACAGATGTGCCATTTACTAGATCTGGTACTTTGGACAAAGGATTTAACTGCTCTGAGCCCAGGCTTTTTAATTTCCAGCCGGGGTGACTGACACCTGCCTCCTGGGAAGTGTGAAACAGCCCTGCCAGGAGAGGCTGAGAGGGCCACCCCGAGCTGGCCCTGGGCAGCTGCCTGAATTGCTATCCCCTCCCCCTTCCTGTTGGCTTAATTCCCTCTGGGTGGTGGCAGCTGGGGCTGACCTGATTACATTAATTCATACTGAGGTTAGGGAACTTAACACTTCCAAGGAAAATTTGTATTTTAAAAGCCAAATTTCTCATTCTAGGTAAACACCTAATTGGCAGAGGACTGCCGAAAGGTTTCCAGTTTAGTTTGCTTTCTAAGGCAGGGCCCTTTCTGTTACTTGCCTATATCTGATGTGTCCCCTATGCCCGACCCCAGCCCTCCCACTTTCAAAACGAATGCAGGGTTTCAGCCACTTCTGCCCAAAGGTAGCAGAGCCAAGGTCCTGCTGGCTGGGACACTGGGACTGTTGGCTGACCCTTGAACATCCGAATGCAGCACTTACGTGTTTATCGGGAATCGGGTCTGTGAATAAGGAGATCCCCAGGATGGTGAAGAGACTGACTGCAAAGAGGAGTATGGCAAAATAGAGGTGGTGCACGCCACAGATGATCGGAGGGCACTTGTTGTTTTCTGAGCAGGTCCGGGGTCCGTAGGCAAACTCAGACACCATTCGAACGATGCCAATCAGGAGTCCGCCAGTCAGCCCCCAGAAGGCACCCTGCCGAAGGAGGAGCCCGAGAGTCATCTGAGAGGAAGGTGGGAGATGAGGCAAACCATCTCCAGCCTCACCTTCCTGAGCAGTTGAGTTCTAAAGTCAACCTTGTCCCAGTCAGGGTCCCAAATACCTTGCAGAAGCATTGTGTGGACACCAGTGTGGAGATACCTTCTTGGGCTGAACAAAGACCTGAGATACTTGCACTCTCTCTTAGATTCATCTGAGAACTTCAGAAACACTGGCAACATTTTAAGTTAGATCATAAATAGGTATCTCAAATGTAATGTGTCCAAAAAAGACCCCAGTCCTCCTCATCACTGTAAGGGCACCTCCATCTCCTGGTTGCTCAGGTTGAAGCCCCAGGTGCCATCCCTGCTTCTTTCTTTCCATCCTGCCTACCACCAACCCATCAGCAAATTCTGCTGGCTCTACCTCCAAAATGTATCTGGAGCCGGCCACTTCCTATCTTCCTATCTTCTCTATGGCCAGCACCCAAATCCCACACCACCATCTTTTCTCACACAAGTTGTTTTCCTCCTTGGTCTTCTGCTTGCCCACTGTGCCCACGAAAGTCAGAGTGTTCTCTTCAAAGCATATACTGAAGACCATGCCTCTGCTTAAACTCTGCAATAGCTTCCCACGGCTCACCATCACAATCACACTGTAACTCTGCTCTTTGGTTAACCCTGCGTGGCTCCGCCGCTCTCCCCTTGGTCATTCCCTTTGGCCACGTGTGACTGTCTCCACATCAACACTGCCCACTTTGCTCTTGGCTCAGGCCTTTGCACTCGCTTTTCTCTCTGCTTGATCCCCTCCCTAGATCTTAACATTCCTAGCTCATCTTTCAAAGTTCAGATTCAAGGTAATTTTCTTTTCTTTTTTTTTCCTCACCTGAGGACATTTTTTCCATTTTTTGTTCAGATAGAGTGGGAGGGAGAGAGAGGAAGGGAGAGAAAGAGAGAATCATCGATGTGAAAGGGACACATCGAGTGGCTGCCTCCTGCATGACCCAACCAGGACCGGGGAGAAACTGCAACCAAGGTACATGCCCTTAGCAGGAACTGAACCTGGGTCTCTCCGGACCGCAGGCTGATGCTCTACCCACTGAGCCAAACCGGCCAGGGTGAGGTCATTTTCTTAGAAGTCTGTCACCACCTTGGCTAATATCCTTGACCATTGCTCCACCTGGCACCTGCCCTGCCACTCTCCATGATCCTTCTTTTATATACTTTTCTTTTTTATCCTCACCCAAGGACATTCCTTCATTTTTTGTTCAGATAGAGTGGGAGGGAGAGAAAGGAAGAGAGAGAGAGAGAGAGAGAGAGAGAGAGAGAGAGAGAGAGAGAGGAGAGAGAGAGAGAGAGAGAGAGAGAGAGAGAGAGAGAAACATTGATGCGAAAGGGACACATCAAGTGGCTGCCTCCCACATGACGCAACCAGGGCTGGGGACAAATTTGCTGCAACCGAGGTACATGCTCTTAGCGGGAACCAAACCCGGGTCTCTCTGGACCACAGGCCGATGCTCCAACCACTGAGCCAAACCGGCCAGAGCTATAATTTTTTTTTTAAATCCTCACCTGAGAATATTTTTTTTCATTGCTTTTTAGATAGAGTGGGGGAGGGGGAGGAACATCAATGCGAGAAAGACACATTGATCAGCTGCCTCCCGCATGACCCCAACTAGGGCTGAGGATTGAACCTGCAACCAAGGTACATGCCCCTGACTAGGAATCAAACCAGCAACCCTTTGGTTCATGGCTGACGCTCTAACTGCTGAGCCAAACTGGCCAGGGCTAAATTTTTTATTTACTAATTTTAGAGAGAAGAAGAAAGAGAGAAAGAGAAAGAAACAGAGAGAGAGAGAGAGGGGAAACACTGAATTTTGTTCCACTTATTTATGCATTCATTGGTTGATTCATGTATGTGCCCTGACTGGGGGTTGAACCCTCAACCTTGGTGTATCGGGATGACGCTCTAACCAACTGAACTACTTGGCCAGGGCCACCATGATCCTCTTTTATCTTTTAATCAGCACTACATTGCTATCAGAAATCTGTCTGTTCACTGGGTTTTGTCTGTCTCCTGCAACTAGACTCCACTCTTTACGAGTGAGAACTGCATCTTGGCTCTGGAGCTGGATCTGGAGCCTGACTCAGTAGGGGATAGATGTTGGAGGAGACAGAGGCTACAGTATGTGGGCAAACATCCTGGAAAAAGAGCTCAAGCCAAAAGCCAGGTGGATGATCCACAGGAACCATTTACTGAGGATGTGTAGAAAGGAAAGATCTAGAAAAGGAAAGGCTGCAGAAGCCAAATGAGCATGCCATCTGAAACAGGGTGGGAGAGAAGGCCTGGGGAAGTTCTGTAGGCTGAAGACGGCACCCACAAAACGCTTGTAACCTTGGATCAGTGGTAGCAGGAGAGCCGTTGTCCAGGTCCCCAGTTTTCCTTGGTGATAGGCCCTGATACGTTGAGGTTGCTGTCATAGATGGGAGACAGATTCTCCTGACTGCCTAGCCCTTATGCCCATGCTCTTCCCAGGAGAGCAAAGACAAGAGGCGCTGGTAGCCCTGCAGCCCAGCCACTCTCTCCACACATATACTAGTGCTAAGCTGAGTCCTGGAGAGGTGGATGGAGCAAGGAGCACTAGCAGGTGGTCTAGAAGATTGAACACCTGAGATGAGCCTGTGAGGAAGCATTAGCCAGGTGGAGAAGCAAAAAGACACTCTCGGCAAAGCAAACAGTCCATGCAGATAAAGGGAGGCCAGAGAAGGCGCAGACAAGGCTTCCAGCACTGCAAACCAGGGGCAGCGGGGCCTAGAGGCTGTACGTGGAGAGGGCAGAGCCGAGAGGTAGGAAGGGGCCAGATTATGGAGCACTTCAGGCCCTGTGCTCACACACTTATGCAAGGCCCAGACACTCAGTGCTGTTAGGGGAAATGAGTTAAAATATGACTTAAATAATAAATAACAATATTCTGACAAATTGTGCTTTCAAAGTCTTATGAAAGCACAATTGAATCATTCATTGGGCTCTTTATTTAAAGCATGGCTGGAAGAGATGGTCTCACTGCAGGGAAGGTGGAAGGAGCCCATAACTGTACATCCCACTCTGAGTATGAAATCTGATCATGACACACCCAAATGCAGAGGCAACAGAAGAAAGTTTTCCTACAGCCAGGTATGTGTGAGGGAGGATCATGCACACTTTGCATCGTCTGTGGCATGGTTGAAAGCAGATTACATTGCAAAGGGAGGAAAACAAACCAGAGCTTGCCTTTACCCCACATGCATAAGAGGGAGCATGGACCAAATCTTTCCAGGAGGAAATCTTCTCTCAGAAAGCAAATGGTGCAATGTTGCAAACCCTTGAAGCACTGAGACCCTCCTAGGGAAACTCTGGCAAAGATAACTACGATGTGAAGTGCCATGTGGTGGCCATGCCAACATCCACCTACCTGCTCGGTGACTCTCTTGCAAAATATGGCAAGCAGGAAGATGGCAGCAATGGGTGGCACCAGGTAACTCTTAACTGACTGCATGTAATCAAACAGTTGTTCAATGTATGCCATTTGAATAACAGGGACCCAGATGATGGTGACAACAAGTAAGATGATAACAAAAAACCTGTAAATTAAACCACAAGTCAATGGCAATTTGATGAGTTTTCCCTCTCACCAAGAGAATATCTACAGACCATCAATCATTAACTCATTTATCCCTTAGGTTAAAATCAGGTGTCCATTAATAAGTGTGGGGCAGAGAAGACAGCCATACTCCTAAATACTAATAGGGCCACATGGTGCAGACAAAAATCTTTCAACTCCTGAACAAACAGTAACAAGAAAAAAGTGTCTGTTTGCCTGTTACTGAATCATGGATAGATAGATTTTTACCATATTTAGTTGGTGGGTTTGAGGAAGTCATGCTTAAAATATATAATACCTGAAAAATACTAATTTCTTGAGTCGTAATACACTTTTATTTATTTATTTATTTTTTATCCTCACCCGGGGACATTTTTTTTTTTATATTTTGTTCAGATAGAGTGGGAGGGGGAGAGAGGAGAGAAACATCGATGTGAAAGGGACACATCGAGTGGTTGCCACCCACACAACCCAACCAGGGCCGGGGACAAACTGCAACCGAGGTACGTGCCCTTAGCGGGAACCGAACCCGGGTCTCTCGGGACCGCAGGTCGACGCTCTAACCGCTGAGCCAAACCGGCCAGGGCCATAATACACTTTTAAACGTCTCAGACAGATTAGTATGGCACATGATTTTAAAGGTTCCAACAAGTTCAAAAACTTATTTTATTTAAAATTTGCTGAAAATTTTAAGAAACTGAGCAGAGGTTCCAAATGTTTATTACTTATAAAAAATAGTTTATTGATTTTTAGAGAGACAGGAAGTGGGGGGAAAGAGAGAGAGGTGAGAACATAACACTGACTGGCTGCTTTCTGCACATCCTCTATCTGGGACTGCGCTACAACCCAGGCATGTGCCTTGATTGGGAGTAGAACAGGCAACCTTCCGGTTTATGGGATGCCACTCAACCAACTGAGCCACCCAGCCGAGGCCATTACCTTCTCTAAGTAAAATATTTAAAAATACGTATCCATATATAAAATTACACTGATCAAATATCACCCCAAAGATGAGTAAATTTTATTAGATCTGTGTCAACAAAAGCTTAAAAATTATAATTTTGAGAGAGTTAGAAAGCAAATGATGTTAGAAAAGACTAATACCTTGATAGTCAAAGAAATGAGTTCCAGTTTCAGTAACTATGGGCTAATTTGCATTGGACTAACCCTCCCACAGATAACAATGATAAATTGTGGATCAAATATAAAAACAAAAACACTGAGGAGTAGCCAAAAGTGGGCAGAATCAAGGGAGGGGGCGCGAGTCAATCCTTAAAAGAATGGAACCATACTTGATGCCATCTACATGTATCCAGCATTTCCCCTGAACTCCTCTCTAGTCTGCAAGGTGTGGGGTGGCTAGAAGTTAAACAGAAAGCCTCACTCTTACTGGGTTGAGGAGTCAGAAGACAGAAGCTAAGGATGCAGAAAAGTTGAAAATATTTGGGAAAAATTCCAGAAAGTTGGAAGCCTAGAACATGGGAGTCCACATCTGTGTATAATCTCCCTTAAACTCTTGACTGACCCTTGAATTGTGCATGTGGGGGAAAATCTCCGAACAGTCCACCAATAAGCAACTGTTGGAAGGCAGAAAAAGAAGAGAAAGATTTCATCTCCTGCCTATAGTGGGGGAGACACTGGAGTTTGAATCTCATCAAGTTAGAGTGACTAACCACTTCAGGATTTTCACTGAAACCCCTAAAGGATCATGCTTTAGACATCATACCGCAGAACTAAAACAGACCCACCTTAACAAGGTGTAAAACCAGGTCTCCACAAGTTTGTTATCAGCTAGTTTACTTGCATGCTCAGACAAACACTAATCATCTTCAGAGGAATATGACAGTCTTTACAATATATTATCCACAATGTTCAGTATATAATAAAATGTATGAGGCATGTGAAGAAACAAGAAAATGTGATCCATAGTCAAGAAAGAAAGCAGTCAATAGAAACTGATCTCACGATGGCTCAGGCATTAAAATTAGCAGATGAGGACTTCAAAGCAGCTACTAAATCTACATTAGAGGCCTTAAAGCAAATAGTAAAGATAAATGGGCCTACAGAAAATTATAAGTCAGTGGGGGATAGAAAAGAAACCAAGTAGAAATTCCAGAACTAAATTCCAGTTCAATATATGAAATGAAAATTTCACTGGCTGGCTTCACCAGATTGGAAACCATAGAAGAAATGGCCGATGAACCTAAAGGCAGACTGATAGAAATCTTAACTGAAGAACACAGAGAAAAGTTTTTTTAAAAAATAAATAGAGCTTCAATGACCTGTGGGACAATATAAAAAAAGGCTAATATGTGTGGAGAGTCCCCCCAAAAGAGGAGAGGTGGAGCAGAAAAATAAGCAAAGAAATAATGGTAAAAAATATCCCCAATTTGCCCTGGCCAGTTTGACGGTTAGAGCGTTGGCCTGCGGTCCAGAGAGACCCAGGTTCGGTTCCTGCTAAGGGCGCATGTATCAGTTGTGGTTTGTCCCCTGGTTGGGTCTTGTGGGAGGCAGCCACTCGATGTGTCCCTTTCACATCGATGTTTCTCTCTCTCTCTCCCTCCCACTCTATCTGAACAAAAAAAATGGAAAAATGTCCTCGAGTGAGGATAAAAAAAAAAAATCCCCAATTTGATGAAAACCATTAATTACAGATTCAGAAGTTTAGCAGAATAAGGATAAGCACACACATATGCATACACACTCTTAAGCACATCATAACAAAACTGCTAAAAATAAAAAACGAAGAGAAAATCTTGAAAGCCATAGGGAAAAAGATACGTTAAGTACAGCTAGCATACTGTGAATTATGTGGCTGACTTCTCATCAGAAGCAAGAGAACAGAAGACAGTGGAAGAACATCTTAAAAGTGGTAAAAATATTGTCAACCCAGAATTCTATATCCATCAAAATTATCCTTCAAAAAAAAAAAAAAAGGTGGAATAAAAACATTTTCTGATAAAAATGGATACAAATGTAAAATATATGGGTTAATATAAAATACTATGTATATATATTTATTTTATTATTTTAATTTCCTTAAAAGGTAATTAACTGCTTAAAGCAAAAAATATATCCCTACGATTGTATTGTAGGGTTTATAATGTATGTAGATATAAAATTTATGACAACAATAACAAAAGAAGGAGGGGAAATGCCATATACCATTGCAATGTACTTACATTTTACACAAAATGCACAATATTAACTCTAAGTAGACTGTTGTAGGTTAAGAACGCCTATTGTAATGTCTAAAGGCACCAAAAGAAATTAAAATGAAGTATGAAAAACTATTTTCAATCATATTATTACATTACATGAAGATTAACTGAACACTCAAATTAAAATGCAGAGATCATCAGATTAGATAAAAAATTAAGATCTAACTATATGTGCTCAATAAAGGACTCAATTTAAATATATTTATAGGTTAAAACTAAAAGATATTACAAATACTAAGCATATAAAAGCTGGTGTGGGCTATGTGAACAATGTAAACCTCAAGACAAGGAGTATTTTGAGATGTAAAAAAAGGGCGTTTCATAATGATGAAAGGGTTAATTCCTCAGGAATCCATGTTATGATAAATGTATAAGCACCCAATACCAGAATTTCAATATTTATAAAACAAAACATAAACAAACAAAAAAAGTGACAAGTACGGTGAGGGAGAAATACACAATTATACAATCATAACTGAGGATTATGAGGATACCCCTCTCTCAGTATAGAATGCACTCAGTGTATATATGTGTTGTGTATAATATACACACTAAATATATAACATATATAATAGGAGAATTAAACAAAAATTAAGACTATAAAAGTATCAATAAATTTCAAAAAATTAGCCAGGCCAGTGTGGCTTAGTGGTTGAGCATTGACCCCATGCACCAAAAGGTGGCCAGTTCAATTCCCAGTGAGGGCACATGCCCAGGTTGTGGGCCTGATCCCCAGTGGGGGGCATGCAGGAGATGGCCAGTTGATGTTTTCTCTCATCGATGTTTCTCTCTTTCTCTCCCTCTCCCTTCCTCTCTCTCTAAAAAAAGCAATAAAAAATATTTTAAAATTTTTTCAAAAAATTAAAATATCATAGAGCATGTTCTTGGATCACAGTGGAAGCAAATTATAAATCAGTAACAATAAAACAGAAAAGTGCCAAATTCTTGGAAATCCAACAGCAAGTTCTAAATAATCCATGATAAAAAAAAAAAATCTACAAGAAAACTACACAATATTTTGAACTAAGTGAAAATGAAGACAAAACATATCGAATTTTGCCCTGGCCGGTTTGGCTCAGCGGTTAGAGCATCGGCCTGCAGTCCGGAGAGACCCGGGTTCAGTTCCCGCTAAGGGCATGTACCTCGGTTGCAGTTTGTCCCCGGCCCTGGTTGGTCGTGCGGGTGGCGACCACTCGATATGTCCCTTTCACGTCGATGTTTCTCTCTCTCTCTGTTCCTCTCTCTCCCTCCCACTCTACCTGAACAAAAAATGGAAAAATGTCCTCAGGTGAGGATGATAAAACAAAACAAAACAAAACAAAAACATATCGAATTTTGTGGGGTGCAGCTAAATTTAGCAAGGCTCAGAGGAAAATTTATAGCTTTAAATGGTAATAGTAAAAAATAGTGAAAGTATTAAAACAATGATCTGATTTTGCACTTTAAGAAGGCAGAAGAGGAGCAAAGTAAATAGAAAAAATGAAATAATAAAGAGCAGAAGTGAATGAGGGGGAAAACAAACAAAAAACAGAGGAATCAATAAACCTAAAAGTTGGTTCTTTGGAAAGATTGTTCTAATTGATAAACTCTGCCCTGGCTGGTGTGGCTCTGTGGTTGGAGCACTGGCCCAAGCACTGAAGGGTCTGTAGGTTTGATTCCCGGTCAAGGGCACATACCTGGGATGTAGGTTTGATCCCCAGCCCCAGTTTGGGGGGTGTGCAGGAGACAATCAATTGATGTGTCTCTCTCATACTGATGT